TTTTTTTTTTTTTTTTTTTAAAAAGTGAAAAAATCATTTTTTTTTTTAAAAAAAAAAAAAAAAAAACTAAGCTCGCCCCATAGATATTTAAATTAATAAACAGACTTTCATTCATAAAGTGGGGATGAGAAACAACGTTCTAACTGTGACTATCAGGTCAGTAGTGGCAGCACTGGTCTGCCTACATCTCCCATAATGCTGTGCGGTTCTGGATCGGAGTGCGGTGAAATTATCGAATAGTCTATCAGACGATAGACACGTGACATTAATCACGTGTCTATCGTCCACATGTCCACGTAATACTGTCTGAAACAGGTTGCTTATAGTATAATCTTCTTTTTTTTTAAACAGGGTAAACTTAGAATGTCCCCCAATGTTAGAAGACCAGCTTCTGACCTCAATTGCCAAAAAGTACAAAAAGACCACAGCGCAGGTGTGCCTTAGGTTCAACATGCAGAGAGGAGTGGTTGTCATCCCGAAGAGCTTCAACCTTGATCGCATTAAGGACAACTTCCAGGTATACTTGCATTACTTCTGTTTATTGACGAATCCAAACTGGTTAAAAACAAGATGCAAGGAATTAAGTTCTGGCTGATTTCTCAAAACTGCAGGTTTTCGACTTCTCTCTGTCAGAGGAGGAGATGAAGGCGATCGAGGGGCTGAACAAGAACATTCGCTTTGTGGTGCTCCCCTTGTAAGTATATCATTAATGAAACTTAAATTTTTGCCTTTTTTGAACACAATATTCATATTTCTTTTTTACTGACTCAACAGTTGGGCTGATCATCCAGAGTACCCCTTTCATGAGGAATACTGACATCCCAAACATTGAATAAAAATATTCAAAGCAGGACTATTGATGTCTTATTGATTCAACTTAACCTGGGGATATTTTTTTTCTTGCACATTCAACGCACAATTCCTCAATCCCACTCTGCAAATGCAAACATATATATATATATATTTGGAGCTCTGGCATAAATTCAATTAGTTCAAAAATGATAACCGAGAAAAACTATGTTTATCTTCCATTGTAGTGAAGCTTTTCCATTTATTGAGGCAAATGGTCTTACAAAATGCCCAAATCTCACAAATATATTATTTAAGTCTTCATTTGTAATTTGGATCCTGTGTGGAATAACCTTGTGAGAATCCAATTCTTGTCTTTAACCTGGAAAATGAAATGTACAAATAAATTAATAAAAGCCCAAAACGAATGCAGCATCCACACCAATGATTGGTACGTGTAAATATACATTTATGCAAGACACATGGGAAGCTTTACACAACTTTATTGTAGATTGTGTATAAATACACATGCACAATTCAAATGTAAACCCAAGTGAACTCAAGTGCAGCCAAACCTGGAAACCCCCATACATCATCATGCAAGAACATCTGAATTATTTTTACAAAACAAAAAAAGTCCCAAAAACAACAGGAAAAAAAAAAATCCTTTTATTTAAAAAAATATGCCCTCCCTGGACAAGACTTTGCAAACTAGTGTATAACTGAATGCCCCGACTCCTCCCGGTCTTGCCAAGGTTTTAAATATATTGTCTGTTCATTATTAAATGCTTACATATAAATAAATAAACTTTATCAAATGTGCACTCACAGAGTGAACTCTTCTGTACAATATCATATAAGCCTATTGAAGCGATCGTGTCTCACTCAGTCTGGATGGGGTGAGTCGTCCTAAAGGGGGAAAAAAAAAAAAAAAAAAAAAAAAAAAAACAAGGCGGCCCGTTGAAGCAGAAGCACAAAGATGCTCGTAAATGGGTGGTCTTTTATTCTGAGGCAAGAACAGGTGTGTGGATGTCGTCTGCAACAAAGCACTCGCATCGCAAAGAACGGCCTCAAAACGAGTCACATGGATGGACGATTATCCCGCCACGATATAATTTCACTGCATCATGGTCCTACAAGCCGAAAGGTGCGTTAGGCCGACTCACCCCACTGTTTTCAGTTGATTCCCCCCCGTTTCCCTGCTTCAAATCAAAGCAGCACACACACATACACACACATACAGGCGGAAATGTTTTCCCAGAAATTCAGACAGCCAGCATCAAAGGCGGAGAACCTGTTAACAGAAAGAATAAGAGGGCCGGAAAAAAATGTGGGGGAAAATTTGTAAACCGAAAGGCATCATTCACATACGTGTGGTCTTTGTTCATTCAGTTCACGGTACATTCTGGCCCTCTTGTGGATTAAAAAGACAAGACTTCGAGGCGATGCGGACATGAGACGGCAGCAAGCAAGAATGGAACGGACATTCGTCACGCGACGTTTTTGACGTGAGAAGTGGGGTAGAGGGGTCGTCGTGCGAACAACAAGGCGACTGGTTTCACATTTCGAAGTTAAGGCCGAGGTGATTTCAACGACGGATGACGCATTGGATGTCTGCGAGAGAAAATGGATGAACGCAGGAATCGGACGATTAATCAGCACCGATTCTTTAGATGTCGGTAGCAAAAGAAAATAAATTTGACCTTTTTTGTTGGTCAGTAAACACATCGTGAAGTTATTCTTTAGTAGTGTTAGGCGTTTAAAGTTAAGAGGGAGCAAACGGATGTGTGACAAAGAGCAAGATAACAGGATCAAAGTTCGTTTGACCTTTTTGAGCTTCCATCCTCCATGTAACGGATCATGCTTTATATGGATATGTTACACATCCACAATCTATAGGGAGTACACAGGGAGTGCTAGCCGTGCTAACTGCTAATATAAAAATGCTAAAGACGATAAAATGTCAACCGTGCAATCATTTCGTCCCAGTTTTAAGCGCCTGCTCTCACACACGGTGTGACGTCACCTCTGCTCAATAATTAGCGTTTGCTCATGACAGGATGGAAGGAAAGAAATATTCTGAATCTTAAAGACTTAAATTCAGCCAGAATCAGGTCGAAGCAGGCTAAAGCTTTAGAAAAAAAAAAAAAAAAAAAAATCTGGAAATTGGCCGAAAAATTGTAATCGGTGCGTCTCTGGTTCTTAGTCCCGGCACATCTTGAAGATGAAGACACGAGAATATAGAAAAGGACTAAAGCTTCAGATAGATACATTGACGAGAAGATTGGCAGTGTAGAACTTTCTTTCTAGCACATATCTACTGCAGAAAAATGCACAGTATTGGCTAACACAGGCTGCGTCATGTCTTAACACATTTTTGGAGTTAAAAAGCAGCCAATCACGATGAGGAATACAACTATGGGCATCGCTTGTTGACGTAAAGCCTGGGTTATAGACCACGAAGGCGGATAGCTGGAAGCAGCTGCTGCAGTTTGTATGGCGTTATCAGGAAATGGGAGAGGTTGTGTTTGTGCAAGTTCAAAAACGTTTCAGCGCATCGTGACAACTCAACGCAATTCAGTGTTTTAAAAATATTTACAAAATTGAAATAATACTAATAGGATATGCAAAACAATTCACTGCTCAAATGATTAAAAAAAAAAGAAAAAAAGAAAAAAAAGCGGAGATTCAGAGCGCGGCACCTGCTGGAGGCGTCGTCATCGGTCTCACTTCACACAGCAGATGTTTAATGAGTTAACGTGGCGACACACTCGCTCAAAAACACACACGCACACACACACAGTGATTCACCCACAGGAGGGTCCTGATTTCTTAGAGTTGCGTACCAAGGCAGCTCCTCTCCCCGCCCCCCCGCCGAACAGTCGTCGTCCTGGCAGCGGCTCAGTCCGCGCCATCGGGCAGGAGCGACGGCGCCCGCTGCCACGCCATGCGTCCATATGGCTTTTTCATGGACAGATCCCTTTCTCTCTCTCTGCTTGTTCCTGTAGGCATTTACCTCAGTTGGTTTTCATGGTAATGTCTCGATTGGATACCTGTTCCTCCTCTTCTTCTTCTTCCTCTTCTTCTTCCTCCACCTCTTCCTCTTCCTCCTGGTTGATGTCTTTTTTACTGCTCTTGTTCTGGACTGGCTCGTCCTCCTCGTCGCTTTGCGCAGCGGCGCAGGCACCCTGAGAAGACGAGACAGTCCTTCTTTCTACCAGCTCTTCCGCTTCGTTCTCATCATCCTCACCTTCCTCTTCCTCCTCCTCCTCCTCTTCCTCCTCGCGGTCGAGAGCAAAGTAGCCGGTGCCTTTGACAGTGTCCTGGCGCTGGTAGAACAACACATAGCCAGCTTTGGACTACAGAAACACAGAACAGGGGAAAGGTAACAACAATGCCTAATATGTAAAAAAAAAAAAAAAAAAAGACAAGGAAAATTGTTAGATTTTTCTAGAAAAGAAGTTTCTATAGCAACATTTTTGCACAAAAGACCCCTTTTGTTGTTTTACGGTCAAAAATAACCAACATTATATTCTACAGTGAAAAAGTTCCTGCCTGTATGCAGAGGTTTTCTCCAATACCAAAGTGACACCTAGTGGCAGAAATGAGGTAAGACATAAAACACAAATTGGCTGCTTCTCTGATTGGATGACGTCGTGTTACCATTTTCTTTCCATTTTCAAGTATTTTGACGTTAACAGTAAAATTAAAGCATTTTTCTAGCATTTCAAGGCAAGTTGTGAAACTTTTCCTTTACAAAAATCCCCAATTTTAGTAATCTTTAATTTTAACTACACATATCAAGAAGTCACTGTGTCTTTAAGAATAATACATATAATTCAATAATTGAAACAATCCAAATAACTCGTGTTCAGGTAAATGACCTTCCTGCTCAAATAACATGATTAAACACAACATACTAAGAAAGTTAGAAAAAAAAAATCTCTAAAATACGTTTGCGCTAAGTTTTCTGGCATTTAGCAAATAGAAATAATTCAAATCAGATAGGCGATTCAACCTAAGCTAAAACAATAGACGTTTGGTCCAATTTAACTTCAAGGGGAAAAAAAGGTGGACGATTTTTATTAGGTGTACGAAAATATCAGGTTTCAACTGTAAATTGTGTCCACATTTTTATGTGAAATAAACTGAGACTAAGGACACTCACCACTATTTGGTCTTCACTGGCAGGAGACACACTACTGTCATCAAAGTTGTACCACTTGCCATCTTCTTTGTTCTTAGCATACGCAGTGTCTGGGAAGAAAAGCTCATCTTAAATTACAACGGAATAATATTACTAGATACTAAAACGTTTGCCCGGTTTGATCCATTATATTTTCCAGATTATACAAAACAACACAGTTAGGAGCGATTTCCTAATTTTTCTGGGATGTGGAAAAACTCTTAACTTGTTGAAATCTACAATACGACAAAATCTGGACTGCATTGTCCACAAATGTTTTATTCTGTAATGTTTTTATCTCACTAAATTAAAAAATAATAATAAAAAATCCAGATCAGGTCAATGAACTCAACAAAGACTCAAATTGTGAGATGCACCAAAAAAAAAAAAAAAAAAAAAAAGGAAATTTAAAAAAAAAAATTTTTTTTTTTTTTCC